GGGGGGGGGGGAAGCAGCCTTGAAACAAGCTTTGAGGAGGGGGAAAAAAAGCTGTTGAAAAGTACTTATTAGCCTGGTTTTAAAGCAGAAGCCAGCCTTCTGCCTCTCCCAGCAAACAGCCCTGCGGGCGTGCTTCTCCCTGCCCGTGCTGTGCCGCTTGCTCATAAATCACCGGCTTTAGCAGCTTGGCAACGTAACCAGAAGGGAGCTCGGATCAGAATAGCACAGCGGGTGTAAACGAGGGGCAGGGAGGGGTCAGCTGCCCCTGACCGTACCCACCGGCACCCCGGTACAGCTCTCTGCCTTCTTGCCCGGGGCTCCAGCTGTTAGACACGAGGCCGAGTGCTCGTGCAATGAAGCTGGAGGTGCCGGAGCATCCTCCCAGGTTAGCGGAATATCTGGAAAACGCTTGTTTTAACCTTTTTCCTTCCACCACTGTCCCCCCGGGCTGCCTCCCACCACCTCTCTCGACCACCCCCCCAGGTCGCAGCTCATCCCGCCACTCCTGCTGAGCGGGGTTCACGCGGGTTTGAAAGACCACCTCCCTCTCGGCTCGGTAGGTACCGCAGTGAGTAGCACAGAAAAGACCTCAAGACCTCGCTGGCCTCAGTAAAGCTTCATCCGCTGGAGTCCAGCAGCCTCAGCCGGACGCTGGGAAGGCAGCGGCGAGGCTTTGAAGCCCTTGGATCCCACCTTGCTTCGACGCGATCGTGCCACGAAGAGCAAAAGGAGTAGCAAAAGGAGCCGCTGTGAGGACGGCGGGTGTCTCAGCAGCTCGGGTTCGAGTCGTGCTCACCTCCGTTCTGTGGACCAGCATCCATTTCCCGTCGTCACCTGGTTTATAAAACTCCAGGAAGGGGTCTGACTTCCCAAACAGGTCCTGGGGGAGAAGAACGGGGTGGGTTACACGGTGCTTTGCAAGCAGCTGGTCCAGCAAGAGCCGGTCCGAGAGAGACCCCCTTCCCCGGCAGCGCCAAGCCCTGCAGATGCCCCTCGCGTCCCCACGAGACCAGCCAGTGGGCAGCACCCATGGGTGGCACCCGGCCAGCCCTCTGGACGCAGATGCCACGGGAAACGACCCCCCGC